CGATTGCAGGCCACGGGAATTTAAGCCCAATTATCCTACATGGGGGTTTATAAAGGGCATGCCTGTGCCGTCTGATCAGCAGGAAATTCCCAAGCAACCATCCACGACAGACGGCACTATGCGGAACCTTCTTCTCTCTGTTCTGGCATTCAGTGTTGTGGCTGATGCCTATGGCTCGGGATCTGCTGGCTGGGATGCGGCCTATTCAAAGGCACAAGCAGCACTTCTGAAGCTAAATCAGACTGAAAAGGTCGGCATTGCCACTGGTGTTGGGTGGGAAGGAGGACCCTGCGTGGGCAACACATATGCCGCCAGCTCCATCGATTATCCCTCCTTGTGTTTACAGGACTCGCCGTTGGGAATTCGTTTTGCCAACCCCGTTACAGCTTTCCCTGCGGGTATTAACGCAGGAGCAACTTGGGATCGTAGCTTGTTGTACGCGCGCGGTGCTGCAATAGGTAAAGAAGCTAAAGGTCTGGGTGTCCATGTCCAGCTAGGGCCAGTCGCTGGTCCTCTAGGAAAGAATCCCGATGGTGGTAGGGACTGGGAAGGGTTCTCAGTCGACCCGTATCTCAGTGGAGTAGCTATGGAAGAGACAATTCAGGGTATGCAAGATTCGGGCGTTCAGGCCTGCGCCAAGGTAAGCTCGCCACCACTCCACTCTTACTCGTCCGTTCTGACCATGATAAAAGCACTGGCTCGGGAATGAGCAGGAGCACAGGCGCGAAACAGTGAGCTCTAACATCGGCGACCGTGCGACGCATGAGCTGTATGTATGGCCGTTCATGAACGCAGTTAAGGCAAATGTCGCATCTGTCATGTGTTCCTATAACAAACTGAATGAGACTTGGGCCTGTGAGAATGATTCTCTCTTGAATGACCTCATGAAAAAGGAGCTAGGTTTCCCTGGTTACATTATGACCGACTGGAACGCGCAGCACACTGGTGTCAACAGTGCTTTGGCTGGGCTCGATATGACGATGCCTGGAAGTGACTTCAATACGCCACCTGGCAGTATCTTCTGGGGACCAAATCTCTTGCAGGCCGTTACCAATAACTCTGTGCCCCAATCACGTTTGGACGATATGGCAACGCGTATCCTAGCAGCTTGGTATCTTCTCGATCAGGACCAAGGCTACCCCGAGGTGTCTTTCGGCTCATGGAACGGTGGTAGAGCCAGTGTCGACGTCACAGGAGACCATGCGACTGTCGCCCGCACGGTTGCCCGTGATTCCATTGTCTTATTGAAGAACAAGGAACGCGCTCTTCCTCTTCAGCAACCGAAGAGCCTTGCAATCATTGGACAGGATGCTATCGTCAACCCCAGTGGTCCCAATGCATGCTCAGATCGCGGCTGCAACAATGGCACGCTAGCTATGGGTTGGGGCAGCGGCACGTCGGAGTTCCCTGTAAGCAAGCCAATGCCAGCAGATCAGTCCCAGAATTGAAACACTGACGATACCACTCTAGTACCTCGTTGGTCCTCTTGATGCGATCCGAGTCCAGGCCAGGAAAGACGGTACGGAACTTTTCCAGAGTACAACCGATAGCACTACAGCTGCAGCTTCGGCTGCCGCAGCGGCAGAGACTGCCGTGGTGTTCATCAATGCAGACAGCGGTGAAGGGTGAGTCGGAATTGCATCACCGCACCCATGATGTATTGACAATCACTAACATCCCGCCCAGTTACATTACAGTGGAGGGCAACGTTGGCGATAGAAACGATTTAGATCCCTGGCACAACGGAAACAACCTTGTCAAGTCCGTCGCAGCAGTGAACAAGAATGTGATAGTCGTCATACACAGCGTGGGGCCCATTATTCTCGAGACCGTTTTAGCCCAGCCCTCAGTGAAAGCAGTTGTTTGGGCCGGGCTACCAGGCCAAGAAAGCGGAAACGCCCTCGTTGATGTGATTTATGGCAGTACCTCTCCAAGCGGCAAGCTCCCATACACGATCGCCAAGCAGTCTTCAGACTATGGAGCCGGCTGGACCACTGAGCTAGACGACAATTTTGTCGAGGATCTGTTCGTTGATTACCGCCACTTCGACAAGAATGACATTGCCCCGCGCTATGAGTTTGGCTATGGCTTATCGTACACGACCTTCAACTACGTTGGACTTGTGGTTAGTATTTCCGGTAAAGCTGGGGCATCAAGTGGACGCATTGTTCCTGGTGGGGCAGAGGACCTTTTCGAGTCAGTCGGCACTATCTCTGTCACTGTCCAGAACATTGGCGAGGTCGCTGGTGCCGAGGTTGCTCAGCTCTATCTTGGTCTTCCGGATTCTGTCCCAAGCACTCCTCCCAAGCAACTGCGAGGGTTCCAGAAGCTGAATCTCCAACCGGGAGAGCCGGGGACGGCTACTTTTGAGCTCACTCGGCGGGACTTGAGCTACTGGGACGTGCCGATACAGAAATGGGTTGTTCCTAGTGGCATCTTTACTGTTTATGTCGGAAGCTCCAGTCGGGATATTCGCGAAAATGGGCAATTTATTGTCAACCAGTAGTATCATTAATCATCTATTGATCTGTAAATATCTCTTGCTCGGAGAAAATTTTTCCGAAGACGATACTTTTAGTCCGAGAATACAGCAACAAAACTCAAGACTCAACACATCAACACTGACTAGATACATGCTTGCTTCTTTGTTGAGATTCATGTCTCTTTAATCCCAAGACCTGGGTTCACTCCAGACGAGGGCCGGTAAAGTAACAAAGAATACAAAGAACGGGTTGATCGCAGTGATTAATTGCCTTTTCAATTGTATATAGTAACCCCAAAGGCATAGATGACCCCGAGCCAGTCCTTCTCGAAGTACAGAACCATCATCAATTCACGTTCTACCTATTCCTCGATCCATTTTCAGCGATCATAATATACACTACACACAAGAGGTCTCTAAGTTCCGAACGGAACTCGAATGAGATTCTAGTTAACTACCCAGGCTACCAGAGCCTCGTAAGCCAGAGACTTGCCATGACTGCTGTATCCATGCGCAAGATCAAGATGCTGGCGGCTGGTATCTCGGTGTATTTCCCCGATCATCCGCTCGTCACTCGCAAGCGGCTTGGCTTCTTCCAGACTACTTTCCCTCGACTTTGTGATTTTCTCGAGAGGACTTTCCTTGAGCTGAGTATTACTTTGAAGAAGGATCTGCGGAGCGAGAGTTCTGTTGCATGGCAGCTTCAGGATATGCTGGATTCGCTATAGTTTTGGAGATTGAGCAGGCCGGTTTTGTGCAATGTACAATTTTCTATAGAGGGGATTTGGTTCCATTTGGTCAATTTTGACTACTGGTCTGTTCGTCACTAGAAATATAGATAAACATAGTGAGACCAATGTAGTGGTAGCAGAACAAGACTTGGTTTTGAGCCGAAAGTACAACATTCCGAATTAATCGAACAACCGTTTCCTATTTTGCATCAAGCAAATCGTGATTGATAATTGCTCTGCAGATTTACTGTGGGTTTTAAAGTAGACCTCTTTTGTAAAAATCGTAAAAAGGCATTTGCATCGATCATTTCACGCTGTTAGACCTGAACTGTTGATGCAGAAATCCAATTCCTTCGAAGTAGTTGTCTCTAGGTTTTCGTTTCTTTGAAATGCTATGAAAGCCTTGCGTCATGTTTAAGCAATGTGATTAGTCTTTTTTTTGGGAAATTTCCAATATCTTTTCACTTGGAATGAGAGGTTGTTCGACGGAACTATGTGCAAGGAGGCTGGGAGTGGTGGGGTTATCGACCACCCGAATACAAATATGCGACGGCGAAAAGTTTCAAGCTAATTGGATTCAATTTGGAATCAGTTAGAACCGACTTGCTTTGTACCGTGATATTATGATTTCGAATAAGTTGTCCTTAAAAATTCACCTGCCAATGCGGGCGAGAGAGCCATGGCTATTTCAATACAAGTTTAGCCATCCAGTGTTCGGCACCGTCTTCTCGAAGATTTGAAATTGAACATGCCTGCCATCGAAGATGGAATGTCACTAGTTGGATTCCTCGTAGTAACGATGTCCTTTGTGTACAAGGACCAAAACCTTCTTGTGCAAGTCCAAGCCGACTCAAAAATATTTCAAGGCTACCCCGAAACTTTTAGCATGCATCTTCAATCTGGTCAGTGGAGCTGGCTTCTTTCACTTGTGTCTGCATTTCTGTTTGCTTCTGTCGAAGGCAAGGATTTGTCCGAGAATCCCAAACCAACCTTCTCTTTTGACCGACTCTGGAAACTCGAGAAGGGCTTTTGGGATTCCTTTCTCTACCCTGAGAATCTGAACCAGACACAGGGCAATGAATCAGCCATTTTCACATCTGATGTGAGTTCAGCCCGAGTTTGCGATCCACTAGTCTCATCATCTAACAAACTACAGGTACAAGGCCGCGTTGATATCACCCGCACCTTCGATGGCGACGAGCTGAACCGCGAATACATATTCGGCCTATTCGCCGATCCAGACCACGTTAGTCTTGTCGGTGTCCCGATCGCATACAACATCACTCAATTCACCGCCAATGACGACATCGCATCCGCAACAACAGTCGTGACCTTCAACGCAACAAGTTTCGGCGTCCTTATCCCAGTGACGATCGACACTTGGGTCAAATTCAATGCAGACGGCAAGATCGCACAGTACGATGCAACATTCCGCTGGTTCGAGTATCTACTCGACTTCCTACTTGAAGGGGTCGCAACAAAAATTAACGCCACTGAACCTGAACAGGCTGTCGCATATGTTGCTGATTTGCTAGCCACGGCCATCTGTGACACGCATGAACAGCATTGCATAGGTTCGAATCAGCAATATACGGATTCTGCAAGTTGCTATGACTTTTTGACCAAGACTGTGCGATTTGGAAAGGCTCATGAGCTGGGTCGCAACACATTGCTGTGTCGGGAAGTTCATGAGCATATGGTGCAGTACCGCCCCGATGTACATTGTTCACATATTGGCCCTGGTGGTGGTGGATACTGTGTTGATGATATGGACTACATGCAAACTGTGCTACAGAGATACTTCAATGACTCCTGGATTCCTTTTGGGTATGGCACGGATCAGAATATCTGGCTCGCCACCTAAGACGCATAGTTTGGGACGAGGAAGTCATCTACCTATAGTTCTATACATTATCTTCAGAATTAGTTATACAGGTCCACATTGGCGAATGCCGAGTCCATTAGAGTTATTTCATTCTTCCATCAAACGTAGGTCATGGTATACTATTTTTAACACGATCTTGCGTGCTATTACACATGAACTCGATATGATTAGCCCTCTTATAGCTCCTTGATGACAAGGCCCAAGCGTCCTAGCTCATCCTCAGTCTAACGTGGCACTACACGGAGTTTTACCGAACAAGGGGCCTTTAAATGATCTGCAGCTCGGGGCTTTATGGATGGTACCATAGGTCATACACTGTTGCAAGTCTCCGATAACTCTATCCCCATTTCATGATGACCATTTTCTACATTCCAATCCCTTCGCACAAGCGTAGTTCGCTGTCGTTAATGCTACAACCCCCTCTCGCAGGCCGGGGAGATCTCTCTATTTCCCAAGCAAAGCACATCAGTTTCGGCCATTTAAAACGTTGTTTCGTTGGAGGCTTCAAAGTAGGGGCTCAATGTCATCCGCCATCACAACACAATCATTTGTCACAGTGGTCTTGTCAATTATTAGATACTGGATCGGGATCATTAGGTTCGCAGCCCGATTACGAGATTAGCAATATGACTACTCTTGAGCTATAGTCACTGCTTGAGATAGATACACAAATGTATAATATGCCGCTCGGTCGTTGAGGTTGCATGCCAGCCTCAATCGTCGACGTAAGGAAATTCCTTCCATCACCCGGTTGATCTTTACCCAAGAGTTTTTGCCATCCCTTCGAACTCTAGACCTCCTTGATGAAACAATGTGACCAGAGTTTCCTAATTGCTTCTTATAGAGAGTAGTTAAAATGGGCACCTTCACCGTTGGAGCTTGCCTTTGTTTCTAACAACCCTCTAGTTAGACTCCCTGAATTCAACATCCACAACATGGAGAGAAGACGCCCTTCTTGCAGCGACTCATCATCTTGCAGTGAAGCTCAGACATACTTATGCCCGGAGAAGTTCGAAGAAACGTCAACCGTTGATGGTCAGACGTTACTACCCGTCGACGGAGGTTTCCACGCATGGATGTTTCTGGCGGCTTGTACAATGCTCGAGGCTTTGATATGGGGTAAGTCTGGCTGATAGGACTACAAGATGGCAATATGAGTCTAACTATGAACAGGATTCGCCTTTACCTTTGGAGTCTTCCAGAAATACTATCACGACCATGAAGCCTTCCAGGATTCTGGCATGGTAGCTGTTATTGGAACATGTGCCACAGTAAGATCACCAGCTTCGTTTACCACGGTCTATTGCTAACACCAAGCACAGGGAATATCCTATTTGAGCTGTCCACTAGTTATTATAATGATGATCCTACTTCCTCAGTGGGGACGTTGGTTCTCATCACTAGGGCTGATTATGATGTGTCTTTCCTTGGCATTGGGCTCATTTTCCACCAATGTTACTCACCTCGTGCTCTCCCAAGGAGTCGGCTTCGGAATCGGCGGCTGTATAGCATACAGTCCATCCATCTTGTACATGGATGAGTGGTTTGTCCACAGACGAGGACTGGCGTTCGGGATAACGTGGGCTGGATCAGGAGTGTCTGGAATAATTTTCCCGATTGGCCTCGAGAAGCTGTTGAATCGCTTCGGATTCGAAACTACGCTTAGGGTAATCTCGGTGGTGATCTTTGTTCTCGCTGCGCCTTTCATATACTACCACAGACCCCGGCTCCCTGTCAGAAAAACAGTCGACTTTCAGCGTCTGAACTTCCGTTTCCTTACAACCAAGGTATTTTGTTTCTACCAACTCGGCAACATCATCGAGGCACTCGGGTTTTTCTTGCCCGGAATCTACCTGCCGACTTATGCGCGTAGCATCGGCGCTTCAGATTTCCTCTCCTCGTTGACGGTCACGCTTTTGAATCTGGCGTCGGTTTTTGGATGTGTTACTATGGGCCATCTGGTAGATCGTTACCACGCCATCACCTGCATCACCATCTCAACGGTCGGCAGTACACTTTCAGTTTTTTTCCTCTGGGGATTCTCAGCAACCTTGTCCACTTTGTTCGTCTTTTCCATCGCATACGGAGTATTCGCAGGGTGTTACTCAGCGACGTGGTCGGGGATGACGCACGAGGTCCGACGAGTCAATCCGTCTGCCGATGCCACTATCATCTTCGGTTTTATTGCCTTTGGGCGCGGAATCGGAAATGTTGTTAGCGGTCCTTTGAGTGAGGCTATACTTGGTGTAGACCCATGGAAGGGCTCTGCTGTGGCGGGATATGGCAGTGGATATGGGCTCATCATCTTGTGTACGGGGATTAGTTGCTTGTTGAGCGGAGTATGTATAGTCGCACATTATATGAAATGTATATAGGCGAGTCTCGTTGCACATTTACGCTGATAACTAACGTCCTCTTTTTTTGGGTGGGACAGAGGGGATGATATATCTACTTTTCCTGATTGATGTACTTCTCAGTCTATCCATTCTATCTGTTCCCTTGGAGCAGTCTCCTCTCTTCGTTCCATTCCTTTTTTGATGCAAGATTTGATTTAAATGAGGAAAATCTCTAACGGGGCTTGAAATTTGCCACAAATTTTTAAATTTCGACATTTACTGTTGCAGATCCGCCAGCATCCGTCGGCTTGAAATGCCCCCAGGTGTGTAAGATATGAATACGACCATCATCACTTCCAGATTTCTTTTCAAAGATGCATAGAAACATAAAGAGTAGCATGTCGTAGAATGAAACACCAGCAAAAATTCACAGTGGAAGCATATCCATTTTCCGAGTAACTTTTAAGCAGAAATTTCAGATCCACGACGCCATGATCCAAGTCATTAGGGTACACCGGATATCCCGTCGATCCGGAACCCACTTGATAAGAATCTTAAAGCATTGAAGCTTTGGTTTCAGCCGATTTTTATATCAACTCAAATCGCCCCAGCATAGTGGTCAAGTGGTCGACGTCATTCCAAGAGAACATGGCAAAATTGATTCCATGACAGCCCAGGCTCAAAGGTTATACTGGGGTCCATGACGCCAATGCAGAGGCGACTACCGGTTATCTAGAAAGTCTACTGAGTATAATGTACTCGAAGGCCTACCGCATGCGTCGCTGGGGTGATGATGACTCTAGATGACTTGGAAGATTGTGTGGTTGGATGGGCTTGAAAGGTATTTAACTGCCTGGGGGCGTAGCCACTATTTTTCCTCCTAACTAAATATTCCTCATTTTCCCTGTACGATACCTCTTCCGAGATAACTCCCAAGAGCTATGCGTTTCAACATTGTAAGCCTCCTCCTGGCCGGAGTCACTGCCACCTCCGCCGCCACCACCACCTCCGCAGCAAGCTCAGCCGCAACCTGCTCGCCCTCAGCTTCCGATGCCAGGCTCCTGCAATTCGCCCTAGGTATCTCTGACTTCATCGGGGGCTTCTACAACTCCACCGTGAACAGCACCTTCGGCAGCTCCAGCAATGCTACCCTCCAAGCGTACCAGAAGATCCTCTTTGGTCTCGAGACGGACAACACTCTATCCAGCGCTGCCATCGAGAAAGTCGGCGCCAAAGCCCCCGGATTCTCTAAGCTCTCATGTGACTACAAGTTCCCCGAGGTCTACAGCACCCAGGCTTGGGCCCAATGGGCCTACCGTTTCGAGGACACCGCCACTGGCGCTTTCATTGGTCTTGCCGGCTACACCGAGTCCCCCGAGGTCTCTTTCCTCCTGGCTCGTCTAGCTGCCGAACACAGCGCTCACTCCGCCATAATTGGTAGCCGCGTGAACTCGACTTACTTTGCCCAGAACTCTACTTCTCTTGTGGCAGCTTATGGTCCTATCCAGCTCTTGTCCTCTCTCAACCAGACTGGTAGTCTCGGCGAATACCTGGGTGGATGCCTCACTGCCCCTACTAGCCCTTGCGGTGCCCTGCGAATTGGTCCCTTGGCTGCTACTCCCTCCTCGTCCGGCGTGGCGAGCACCGGTTTGGCTACATATGCTTCCAAGCAGATTTAAGTGGTTGATGATCGAATGAAGAAGCACCAACCGATAGCTTGAGTGTCTCATAATCTATGCTTGTGAATTAACGTGGGTAAATTTGAGAGGAGGAAACTGCCATCAAACCGAGCAGGATTGGAATATCTGAGAATAATTAATGGATTCATTGGTAGCCATCAACACTTGCCTATTCTATATACTAAGTTTTTAATCAATCGACAGACTTCACCAGTGTTTTTGAATTGAGGCAAAGCTCATTTCTTCTGGAAAAAGAAAGGCAACTACCTGCCGTTCACAAGAAACAAAATGTCTGACGCACACAGATTGTAGATGTACCCAATGACGTCATACATTTCGCTTCTTTAAATGCTTAACAAAGTCAATCCCTGGCAGTTTCATTCTTCTGGGATTCCTTGAGAGTCCATAGAAAAATGGTGCACTTCCATGGTGAATGCCGATACTCGACTGTGGGTAGATGTCCAATATAAAAAATGGGCCAAGCAGGGAAGGTGCAACTCGGCTCGTTGCTTTGCCAAATCTGTACAAGGTGGTCCTAGCCTTGTCAATTAAAAGCCCGCTGTGACTCTGTCCACACTATAACATACCTTCATTATCCCTTTCCCTCATGCTGCTCTTGCCTGGCTCATAACACTCTCTGATATCTACATCATCGACACCTCTTTGCGAGCAATATAGAGCAACGTGGACTCTGAAAGCCCCATCAACTTTACCTGGCCATCACCTGTTAGGTGGTCGAACAGCCAGAGGAATCTGCGATGTCCACGGATGATTACCCTGAGGAGGGCGACTGTGAGTATTTGTTTCATCCAAAAGCCTTTGGATCCCGCTTTTAGGACAAACAGAGGTCGAAACCCAGGTGAAAATCCACCACAGAGCTAATGCATTAGCCACGATGTGCAACAAGATCAAATCAGGTACAGTCTACCCAATAGCCTCCCACCCAGATTGGAGCTATCAAAACACTAACTTGGGATTTGCTATCGGAATTCTGGACACCTACCTGGGATTCGACAGGGGAAGAGCAGATCGGGAAATCAGAAATGCGTGGAATGCGTGAAATGCGTACACGGCAGCGAGAGAAAAGCCATCTGGGACTTAAACTTGGACCGCGTAGCGTCTTGGTTGGGTCGGGGTATCGAAGACATGATCAGAGCGAACATCAACGATGAATTCACGATGGTCCCCTAGAGTGGAGGTCGTCTGAAGTTCTATACGCCCCAGAGTCCACCACCGGTGATGTGGTCATATCTCGTTTTTGGGCCAAGTGATACCCCAATGGGGTTTCAGAGAACATTGTGCATAGCGAGTTCCTTGTCTAGGATTGTGACTTTCTGTTTTTGTCAAGTAGCATGGCGTACCTGGTCCTACAACCATGGAATTTAGTTGACTTAAATGCGATTCGTGACCTGAGATAAAGATGAATTCTTGCATTGAATAGAAATCAGGTCCCTTTGAGACTGCACCGCCATACAACTGATCCATGGTTTACCTGCAAGGGCAGGGAATCAAATCAGCTAGATCAAATCTAAAAAGCGGTAAAAGACCCCATCTGCTGAAGGTTTTCAATCCTCCCAAGCAAGAACTCCAACTGCCGGTACGCCGCACCAGGAACGTACTGAGGGATCTCATGACCGGAATTATAAACCGAGCTGAACGTAAGACCACGCTCAGTATGCGCGGTTCCAAGAATACCACCACCAGCCTCATTTTTCCAAGGTGTCGAAGTATCCCCATTCGCAATTTTGTCCAGATCGGACGTATACGGCACAAACAGGGGTCCGGTAGGTTGTTTCTGGAAACCCTGCGCACCATTCCAAGTCATGTTCTGGATCGTAGCGAGTGTTCCATTCGCGAAGAGCAGGTAATCGAACCAGCCATGGCCGATGAGCACGTTGTTCGTGCGCTCGATCACGCTGGGGAGTGGGCCGAGCGCGCTGGGGGGTGAAAGATCGCCGTTGGTGAAGATGTCACCGCCGCAGACTTGGTAGTTTGTTGGCGGGACGTGGAGGGCTTTTTGGACGGCGGAGTCGTTGAAGTAGTTGTTAGGTCCGCCGGCTAATGATGGGAAACCCATCTCATCCCAGAGGAAGGGACAGAAGTCGGTGAGGTGGTACATGTTGAAGCAGGGGTTGATGTAGGTTGCTGCTGTGACGATTTGGTCCCAGACGTCGCAGCCCGGCTTGTTAGGGTCTGGTACGGTTGGGAAATTCTTCGGTGGGGGGTAGGTCAGGGCTTCGTTGAGGAATTGGGTATAGCCGCATTCGTCGGCCCGGTGGTTGATTTCTTCCATGAAAGTCTCGTTCAGGGCGAACACGGTGGAGTAGTGGTTCAGCGCGGCCACGGCCGGGGCTGTTAGTTTTGGTTAAGATAGGGGGTCTTCATCGGAGAGGGGAACAACTGACCATAGATCATGACGGAATCTTCATTAATGGACGGGTCGTTAATCTGGATACCCTTAAGGTTAAAGGTCGTCGTATCATTGCGCTTCAACATCCCGTCTGCCAGATAGGGAATGTATTGACCAGCATAGCTCTCTCCGGTGATATAAATCTTGTAGCCTTGCATGCTGAAGGTTTCAATGAAGCGCTCCCAGAAGTCATTGAATTGATTTGAGATTTCGATCTCGTTTTCAACATCGGCTGGGCCGGGAGAAAAGCCAGTGCTGGCAGGCTGGTCGACGTAGACCAGGTTTGTCAATTTGGTCCATGAGTAGGGGTTGCGCACCGGCTCGTACACGCCGGATTGCCACAAGAAGGGACCGTTCTCTTGTAACAGACCGTCAAGCGAGCTGCATCCGGGGCCTCCATTCAGCCAGATGGTAATCTCGGAGGAAGTGAGATGGAATTCTGCCAAAAGATTGGAAGGAACGGACGTACCTCCTTTTCCGCAGCAGGGTTGGTAGATGGGAAGAACCAGAAGAACAAGCTTGACTTTCCATGAGGGGTATTCTCCAAAAGTCCGGCATAGCTTTCGCCAATGTCAAAAGGAACTCGGGGGAAGTGAGTTCCATTCACTTGGAATTCTGGAAGACGTGGATTGTAAGTAGACAGTCATAGTTTCAACCAATGAACCAATGACACATTTCCGCACTTACTCTCCGTCTTCTCGTTCAGATACTTGTGCTCAGTCGGAGCAGTCGAAACGTCTCTTTTGCGCAGACCATCTGCAGGCTGTCTGAAGGTTGCAGCTTTGCGATGCGGGTTCTGCAACGCCGCGACCGCAGCCACCAAAGAAATAAAGGGTACCAAAACCAACATTCTGAGATAATCCTCAGCTTGAAGAACCTGGGTTGGGACTGTCGAGCAGACAGGTCTGCTTTTATAATCCCTTCAACGATCCTGCCGCGAGACGTGTAAATCAAAGGGATTTGCGGTCCGGGTAAGATATTAACGCACGACTAAGCTTTGCCAATAGAGATCATGGACAGTTGGGGCAAGACCCCGCCGTGACGCAGACATTGGTTGTTGGCAAGCGGGATCTGCAGATGGTTGCAACGTCGTCAGGAACAACCGGCATGGCGATTTGATTGCTCCATCCTTTCCGACGGAGTCCGTGATCCAACACATGATGCACTCGTAGTGTCTGACGTCTGCTCAATCTAAAGGAGTCTTCTAGCATGTGAATATGGTAATTGAGCAGATGTGGTCGCAATGGGGTAATAGCCTGATGCTGTTCGGACTACGGCGTATATTCGTGGTGAATGTATTTTGAAGTGTCAAGCCATGCACAATGTAAATCCTGCTGCCTGTGCATGGTCCCTGCAGATTTTCAACTCGGATCAAGTCGAATTGAAATGACCTGAGCACGGTGCAACACATGCCCTGAGATCTTCATGCCATCGGCGTGTGTGTTCTTATCGGATAACGGGTCCTGTTGTGTCGATTGGGACCTTTCAGGATTTCAGTCAGGAAAGAATTGAAACATCGCTTGTGAAATTGAATCAACATGCACGTGAGAACATATTGGGAAAAGGTTCATGGAAAGGGAACTTTGGGCAACCTGGGTCTAACACAGAGAGGCCTTAGGCAGCGAGGTAATCAACACCCGTGTGCCTTACAACATATATCCAAGTGGTGCATAACCAAAGTAATTATGACTAGGCAGAAGTTTCTACATCCCCACTCAGCTCACCGCCACTATAATTTCGTGCCAATTGAATACAAGCGCTCTACAACATACAGAATGGTGAAGGGGGGGGGGGGAACGATCGTATTATGTAACCGGGTGAGTGTGGAGGGGTATAACCTAACTATAACTAGACACTTATGTCCATTCACTACAACACAGTATACCACCAAACGAATACATTCAGCGCTGACTCTCAAAGGAACCTACAGTCTCCAAGTGAGCGTCTATGATCCACCTCCGCAGAGTGTGCACATCATTCCCCTCGTCCCTCTTGGAGTCACGTGCCCAGTGTCCTTGTTCCCCTTTCATGGCAGACCAGGTTCTTCTTCTCGATTCACTAACCTCAATAGATTTTTTTTTTCTAATTCCTACGATTCCGTGGTTCTATATCCACCTTCCCTCTGAAACTTCTGATGCTTCACCTGGCCCGACAAGATACAACCCCGTATCTCACACTCGACCACTAACATCACACCGCACAAGCATTGCTTGTATCGAACCTAGCTAGACATCAACGCCTTTTTTATGCCCAAAGCGGTAGCGGTGCCCAACCTACTCTATATACCCTACGGCACATCTCCTAACGTCTATCCACAAACACAAATCTAATACTTGAATTCAATTCCGCGTGAATAGTGCTCACCTCCCACAAGTACCTTTCGGCATTGCCGTGCCAAGGAGAAAGGTCGCTGCGCTAGTAAAGTTTTCCAAGTACAGTCTCTGTTGCGTGCGGTTGCATATTATTGTGGGGCGATGGGAGTGAGATCAAAGTCATCTCTCACTACGGAGCAGAGAGAGGTACCTCACTACTTGTTTAGGAAACGGCCCGGCATGGAAATCTCTTTACGTAGGAAGCTCCTTCTGATTTGAGGTAGTCGTTCCATTCCGCTACTATTGAGAGGTCGGAAACCTCAGCTGTCATTTTTGTCCGTGTCGGGGGATGGAAAGGCGAACCCGTGATCTACCGGGGGAAATCTGCATCTGCGAGGGGGCGGATACGGCGTTAGGCCGAGCAGCACGGTGTACCACATAGCAGGTGACATTTCTCAATCGGCAGTGGGGGTGGAGATCGTGGTGGTTATTATGGAGTAGACAAGCGCAGTGGACTAGCTGCGACTTTAGCGCGTTCAAATATAATTCTTGGAGCTGAACCGCATACAACCAGTCCATGACTCAAGTGAGATAGTTCTATTGTTATGATTAAAAGTCGAGGATTGGCTGACGACTACTGTCCGGTTGGCCCACACAAACACGAAGGAAAAGTTGGAAATGAGCCCTGGGCCTTTCATTTGTCAAGTACGTACATGAATTATCGATATACAGGACCATTATTGAAACCCTCCCAAATAATATATAACCTTATACTCCCGAAGACAAAAAAAGGATCTAACACATGACCATTTCCGTATCCCAAAACTGAAACCCAACCAAAGTCCGATCCCCGAATCCCAAAGAGTCCAGGCTATCCAGCCATCATCAATTCCGTAGTAATCATCAAGTCAATCTTTCGTCAGGGTCGTGAAGTTGAGAAAGTTGGAAGACCCTCTTAGTGAGTGTTGCGTCGTTTCTTGAGTCGCAGACTGATTTTCTTTCGTAGTTCAGAGAACGGATTCACCGGGGGCCGGTTATAGAACGGATCGTTCTTGAAGTCCTCATCGGTGAATTTCTGTAACGAAGTCAGTAATTGTAACACAATGAGAGGGGGCAAGAAAAGACATACCGTGCCAGGAAGGCGCATGAAGTTACCAGAAGAGTCATTCATCATATTCGAGCCTTCTTCGTAAGAATACTCCTGGCCGTTGCGATCCGTGGTTCCAGGAGGATAAAAGGCAACGCCATCTAGTGGCCGGTGACGGTTTAGAGCGTCGGCGATCTTGTGATGGGGAGTCGCCCGGAGGGCCTCGGCATTGGACTCCTTGACAGCGTCCAGCGGGCTGGACTTAGCAAAGCGGTTTCGCTCAGGGCGGGCAGCGTCGTACGGGCCCTCGTGGTGATAGGAGAAATTGGTGACATTGTCCAGCCTGTCAATGATATCAGGTTGCACAAGCAGTGAGTGGCGGTGATGCTTGTTGGTATGGCGGCGATGGGGAGCAGAGTGCTCGCGTTTGCGTCTCGGCTCCACCGGATAATGTTCGGGTGTACCGGAATACCAGATGGAAGGCGCAGAATTCATAGACTCGGAACGCGACCGTTGAGAGTAGGCAGAGGGCGCTGGTGAAATGTAGCGCGCATATGGGTTGTTGCTCGCCATGGTTGTTCCCACGTGTTGGTGTCGATCTTGACTTGATTGATTGAAGGGATGGTGGGGATGATGGGCTGAGGCCATGGGAATGCAGTCAACTGCCATTTCAAGATTGTTTGATGGGTTCTTGTAAGATGAGAAAGTATCCAGGGTGAAAGGCGCAAGGCGCGAAGAGTACCCGGTGTTACAAGTAAGAAGTACTTTATTTCAAACAGCTGAGGTTGAGAGATGATGCAGCTCGTACAGCAGCTGAAGATGTCGGTAAGAAAGAGAGAAAGGGATGAAGATGGGTAGATGTAGATGGGAGAAGTACGAGTGACTCAAGGAGAGCTTATATCAGAGGGAAGCCGCGGACGTGACGTGATGACTTGCGTTGCCTTCAAAGTTCCTCGTGGCTCTACATGGCTTAGTAGTCTCTGAAGTAGGCTTAGTACTTCCTTAACTTTTCAATCTCTACATGAGCCCATGTGCCCATGTGCCCATGTGCCAATTATCGCTCGTAAAGGATCATGTGGGTCCTTACATTGGGCTTAGCACTCGAGACTGCCGACGCCCGAAAGGTGTACGGAGGATGGTACACAGACGAAGTACCTTCATCAACTTTCCCTATTACTGAGCCGTATTGGAATGGATTACATTTCCATATACGGAGTACATTTTACTTGAACATCGGTCCCATGATTCACCATGCGTAAAGACTAAACCTATGCAAGTCCCATGTTGCATCCCACATCCGAGACTTCCACACAGCCCGCGGACTGATCGGCTCCTATGACGAAATCCCTACCTGGAAGTGCCTCCACAAAATGCACGTCTTTCGGATTTCTTTTTTTTTTTTTTTTCCTATCGTCATCTTCCTAGCAATCGAGACCGCAGCCGATTTTTCTTAATAATCCAAAAAAAAACCTCCCAAAAAAACGGCCGGACATTTATTCCCGGAGTTTCCGGGCAATGACTCGTTCATGGATTAAGCTTATCGCTAGGGGACAATTGCGGCTAACTGGTCTTAGTGCCATGCTACCCCTGGCCTGGTCTAGATCTGGACTTCCTGGCCCACGGGAAATTCCAAAGTGTTCTTTGGGGTATCTTGACTTCACCGCTTTTTGCTCCTTACCACTTACGTCTATCTTTTCTCGTCTGATACAAATGTGTGGATCGGGTGTCTCGAATGTCTACGTGCGGACATACAGTTAGTTGAAACTTATGATGCACTTGAACTTCATTTTGTGGGGCAAATCAACAAAAACGTCGGCGTTGTTGACATGGATGAAAACCGAGTACTTCTCCGATCGACCAGGAGGCTCGATTCCTTTCCTTGTCAAGCGCTATCAAAAACTGGTTACTTGCAGTTGGAGGAGCACCACAATGTCACAGAGCAGAGGCTGAATCAAGTTCGAAGTAGAATCGTCACCATCCCAAGTTGCTGTGGTAGCTGGCAGTGACAGCGGAATGATGATAGCAACTTCAGGGATGAAAATCGCGTTTATCCGACCAACTCACATTCTCACATAGCGGCGCCGTCTTATACAGATCATCTACCAGATCAGGTAAGGCTCTCGCACCACAAATCTCTGTCGTGCAGGATTGGGTCAGTGGCCGTGATTTCTTGTTAATCGAGTTGAATTCAGACCGGGTTTGTCGATCAGGAACGGAAGCAGTTTTAGCAAGAAGAGCGATGCTCAACATTGCAGAAAGGTGTTCACTTCCCATCTTTGCTTGATCAGGTCAAGCAGAATACTCGATAAACCAGTGAAAATAAGACGTGTGAAATCTAACTCTGACTGGGTTTGCAACCTGAACCATTCGGAGGAGCATGGCTCTAAACGCGTTTCAAGTACAGGAGGAAGCGTTCATCTTTTGTCTAGAATTCCCGGCTACTCTGGAGATTGGTTGTTCTCCTCGAGCCTTAACGTGTCTATAAATATCCGGTGTTATAGACTTCGAGTTCAATAACAAGTGGTGTGCCGTGAGGATGTTGCGAGGTGTAGGAGGGGTAGGATTGGCATCATCGGCTTTAACGCCACGGACTTCAAGCCCCTGGTGATCTCAGTGTGGTTGTAAAGTATTTTTCACTAGCACCAAGGGAAGGATAGCGTGCAGATTCTTGGAGTAGAGGGCGGAGTAGGGGCCGTTATGACGGCAAGGCTCAGGTCAAGACTCGTAGGAACAATGCTGAGCGTCATCTTTGTTTTGTTTTTTGAACAAGTGCTTACCTATCCTGGTTAACTTTGAAGTTCAAATGACCAGAAGGCTAGGGACTAGTGCTCACTGGATCGATTTGACGTAGGATCTGATTTGGACAGAAGTTCATTTGGTTGACTGGACTCAGGCAAGGTGGAAAGCAGCATATATTTGTACTTGGACTTCACAAATCTTACATCGGAAATAGACCTAGAAAGTCATTGACGATTTGAAATCTGGCGGTGCATCGTCTATCAAGTCCGATTGTAGTCTGGTCGTTGGTCAGATGATGCTACATGTCATTGAAATTGTAGTTGATGAAGCTGTTTAACCGTTTAGATTAGAATCTGACTGGGCATCTGACCACCTTAATTTTGATAGTAATATCCGTGATTGTTCTAGGCCGTCTCACTGAAAACCACCATGGCTTAGTATCGCTCTGTGCTGATCGGCTCTACTATGTACATCCCGGGTTTCCTATTCTTCCTTCCTCTTAGTGAAGTGCATAGGTGAAAATTGACCATTACTCTACCATTGAGTTATCTTGCTGGTAAGAGGAAAAAGGGTCCTTCCAAGGTCAGGATTTACCTTGATCATTTGATCACTGCGGGGCTCTGAAGGGCTCCTCCATACGGGGAACGGCAAGTAGTAGGCATGCTGCCATTGCACCACGGTTGCTTTTTGTCGCGAGCGGAAGTAAGCTGAAAAATGGTGGAGCTCACACGATAGTTAGGCATCGTAACTCAACCTGAGCATTCAATCAATAGAAGGCAAACTTCGTGAGAAGAGGTAAATGAAGGCAGTGTGCGGTCTAGTCTATTGGGCTACAATCGCACTGCAAAATACCCTAAAATCCTTTCAATTTGAAGAGCTACTGGCTTTACTCAAAAATTAATCAATCTCGTGGTGGTTTAGTAGTAAAGACAGATCTCTACACCTGATTGTTGTCATCTATTTGCAGTATACTTGCGTGAGGAACTCCACAATTTCTTGCAGAATCTAACAGTACTCAGATTGTTGCTGAAGTAGAAGGAAGATTGTGCACTCTGGTTGTTTAACTCATGGTGAGGGTATCAAGTTAGACTAACCCGAGGTTGAGGCAAGAGTAAAGAAGATTTCTTTGGGAATTGGACAAAGGTCAATCGTTCAAAATAGCCGTTGCTACCAGGGAAAGCATTCCACTCTTGAAAGATACAGCTTATCCCATTTCAAACTATCTGATAGAGATGATCAGGGGGAAAGGAGATATCAAGCGTTGAATATCACCCTTTCATCAACCACGACCCCATCCTTCAGCATGATCTTGTCCACATCCACACCCACCGCCCTAGTCACCTCCCCATCCGTCATGACCACCCCCCATCATATCCACCACCGCCAGAGTGACTGCAACAATCAGCATCGGGAGTTGCAGGAGTGTGTGTGACGAGCGGCGAAACTATGGCGCACTAACTTGGTTAGAGATTGCTCAGGCCTTGGAGGCGTCTCTTGCCCCGTGAAATTGAGCGAGCAGTCGCAGCAAGCGCAGCACCAAGAACATGAAAGGATATTTGAATTCATCTTCCAATCCAGCTGATGCGCAAATTGAGTCAGTGTAATCTCAACTTGTGAAAATGTGCAAGAGCTGGGCTTACTCTATGTAGAACTGGCCAGAGAGAAACTTGACTTCGACGGGGGACAATTCTCTTACATTTCAGTCCCAGGAAATCAAGACGTCCCAATTTTAAAATATCTACTTCTTCTTGGGACCTAAACTTTCGACATATTCACACAAGAATTTCACAGTCGGTCGATGTGAGCGAGGATTAAACTGGCTTGTCTGCGTAATCCAAACATTAGAGTCTTCTGATATTCTTCCTCGGGAGTATGTTCATCGTTCTATGGGCAATGTTTCGTGAGGTTCGTGCTTTTGGCGTGTTGGGGGCACTTGAAGCAATTGCATCACGAATTGGTGACATTAAATGACGGTTGCTCAATTTTCTTTTTTTGCACAAGGGTGTTCTCCCAGCTCTCACTTAAATGAACTTATACCATAATTACAGCAGAAGCCAGGTATTTTAATCCGTCTTCTGGCCACCTTAATGTAATGATTGGTGGCCTTTTCTTGTGCACCGTCACTCAAAGGGGTGAGGCATAGGGTGGTTGAGGTATTTTGGCAGAAGTACAGCCCAGCCATGACCCCCATCAAAGCTCCTCAGCCCGAGTACCTAGTAAGCACAATTTGTGAGTAGATATGAAGGAGTGACTGCAGGAGGAAACTTAAGACATTGTCCACACAAGAGAAATGACAGCATCGAAGCATCAAATTATAAAAGAAATTAAAAACGATGATTGGCTCTCGACTTTATTTAACTCCACATTTAAGAAACCAGACCTTCAGCAACACAACTCCCCTGCGGCCTTGAATGAGATGTCCCTAGTACAGTATTCGGATTCGGAATCCGACTCGGAATCTAGATCATCTTTCCGCCAAGTCAAGAAACCTTGCCACAAACTCAATCCGGGATCATCGCTGCCGCCCCTACCTGCATCATTCCACAACCTCTATGCCTCGACCACACGTGTGAGCGTGCAAGACAATCCCAATCTTCATGGCGGTCGGACGCGCGTAATTCCCCACGTGGAAGGAAACTGGCCAACACATCTGTACCTCGAGTGTGAGTGTCGGGCGCATGGTGTTATTCTATTTCCACAAGGAGCTAACTTTGACAGGGTACCCGGGGAAAGACGAGCTATCGCTGCTTACAGATGTCATCTCCGAATCTGGGAATTGGGTTGACGAAAAAGCGCCAATAGTGCACAGTCTTCTACATAGCGATCTTGGTGCCCAGCTACCACTCCATATCAGCCTGTCTAGGCCGGTAGTTCTTCGCACCGAGCAGCGTGCCTTGTTCACTGAGGCGCTACAAAAGGCCATCTATGACTCACATGTCACATCGTATGTGCTAAACTTGCAGATCTCTTGGTCATCGTCTAATGCTCGAATTAGATTTGCTGTTCAGCCAGAAACTTTGTATTGGTCATCGAACTATGAAAAGACACGTTGGTTTCTTGTCTTGGGCGTGCAGAGACCGAGTCACGATGGTCTCAACCGCCTCTTAAGGCTGTCAAATGATACTCTTGCTCGCTTTGGCCAGCCACCCCTTTATGCAACCTCCTCAACACGTAGGGAGCAGACCAGTGCATCCCTCCACAAGGGTAGCAGTAGTATGAGCGGCGAAGATTTCTCGGGGTGCTTTCATATCTCACTTGCTTGGAGTCTGTCAGAGCCCAGCGTAAAGGAACGCGAACGGGTTGCCAGGGTAGACTTGCGAGCCTTGCGGGAAATAGAGGTTGAGTTTGATAATGTCAAAGCAAAGATTGGAAATATGGTCGGTAGCATACCACTAGGGAAAAGCTCATAAGATGTGGTTTCCAGTAAATTGATCGCTGTTCCATTTTTTTGTTGCATGCGCGATTCGACTCTAGCCCTTACCTTTTCCCTACACTGCGCATGTCCGTAATTCTCTTTTCTATTGACTGGTATTCCGTATAATATTGTATATCGTCGATATACTTGCCCGATGCGTATAGAGGTGGATGAAAGTCTTCATCTGCTATTCATGCCGAACTAGCTATTTCCGCCTTCGTAGGCTAATTATATTGTTTTGGATAGATCATATCTCTCTAACTTTTGAATTCTTCCATCTCTTCGCACCCACACCTCCATCTTACCGTCAAACCCAGTAAAACCGTCAAAAGCGAAACAAAGTCATGGGGATTGCCCCTTGCCCAGACGGGAGTGGATCTTGACCTCCTTCAACTTGGTATCGGTAATTACGGTAATATTACTGGCGTGATCGCGTCTTCTCGCGACAACTCCCATCGTTCTCCATCCACACCGGGCCACCATGCAGGTCCCAACTGTAACTCTGGTGAGTTTCTCTGTCATCAGTAGTCAACGCTGATCTCTAACCTTCTTCGTTTTATCTAGGATGACCTTCAAGCCTTCCAATCCAAGCACTTTCCTGGACAACAGCCAGCCGTGTTTCCCCAAGAAAATGACCAGACCACAGACGAGGATCTCGGTTATTACCCAGACGGAATTAAGCGCACACTCACAGATGAGCAGATTCGAATTTTCAGACACAGTGAAATCCATGCCCTGCTGCGAGAGCGGCAGCTAAAGGCCGAGGAGGCGCAATACCAATCTCGGATGCAGTCATCCACAAATCATGGATCAGAAGGTAGAACAGACGCTGCACCGGAAAAGCGACCTCGAGACTATGACTCTCAAGCGCAAGGTAGAAATCCGAAGCGGTCGCAGCCACGGAAAAGGTCTGACAGACACACCCCAGTGGGCAAGTCTTCAAAGCTCCTAAAATACGGAGACGACTCCGATCAACCACAGATGGCAAGGCCAGCGGGGTCACAGATGCCCTACCAAGGTCGTAGGATTATCTCCTACGATGACTGATCTAATTTACCCGACATGCGCGTTGTTCGAGTCCATTCCCCATCTCAAGCTTGACTATCTGGTCAGAAGCCCCACTTTGATTCAATGCACACGGTGCCTACATAATCTATGGAACTGACAAAGTGGTAAGTTAATTACATTTCCTTTCACTGCAACGTTGCCCGTTCATGATGAATACATCGTATCATCCTTAGTCGGAAAGCCATGCCATCTGCGGATGTGCGAGGCATTGACGACCTTAATCTTCTCTCTGAGGGCTTCTTCATACCTGTCAATCACTTGCACTCATGTTTAGTTGCGATTCTAACAGTGTGTTAGGTTCGTTACTTCGCCCCGGATACCTTTGGTGAAAGCCTGTTGCCTTTCGCATCCGCGCAAGAAAAAACCGTCAGCCGCCCACTCCCACAAAAACGTTCTCAGCGCTCCCTTCCTACTTCCGGATTTCCTATACGACACAATGATGTGATTCTACTGGGCCTTGGGCCATTGAATCTTTGAAAAAAAGCACTCAATTGGTCTCGATGCTTGTATTCAAAAGAAGAGCGACTAACCATCCTTGCCAATCATCCAATTCACCGGTAAAGCTAACCCACATACGAAATTTGCCGGTCGCCATGGAGGAGTAGCATCATTTTTTGGAATGCGTGATATTCAAGATCCAACCATCGGCGTCGCGGGCTCTTTCTTTTATACTTGTTGAAGATCGATACCAGAGCCGTTGATGTCGTCACAAAATGAGCAACCCTGATCAAATGTGCTTACAGTGCCTTGAAGTAGGAGACTGTTCGTAGTCGATGATACCCGATCTTCGTTATACCCAACATTCAAGACCAGAGATTAAAACTAAAATCTTGACTAAGCTACCTCTTTTTTGGAAATTTCTCCATGTAAAAATAAGTTTTTGGCCTGAAAGATCCCTTGCTCAATCTTTCCTCCCTCATCAATCGAACTGGCATAGAGATACCGCTGATCAGAAACCAGACACGTCCACTGACCCCTAACATAAAAAGACAAATCAAGTATCTCTCGTCCCTTTATCCAAGCTGGGCTCAGTTGTAGCCGGCATCTCAAAGAACCAGAAACAACTCAAAATCCAAAATCCAAAATCCATCCCAGGCCGCTGCAACACACCCACTTTTCCATCTTCTACCCCCTCAGCTGCCGCAGCAACCTGAGTTGGCAGAGTGTTCACAGAAGACGGCGAATGTGAATCACTGTCCACACCAGCAGCAATCCTCTGCCTGCCAACAAGCACATCCGAGGACGTCATTCTAGGCTTAGGGCGCATCCTCCCGCGCAAGACTACATTTACAACCCGCACATTCGCACATGGACGTCTGACCGAAGAATTTCACCTGCCATCTAAGTGTGCTGGAGCCCCTGCACGAGCTCAACCTTGTCATCGGAAGGCCATTGAAGAATGGGCATTATATCTATGATCCACTACAAAGGCCAGCGACGAATGTTTGCAGCATCGAATCAAAATAGAATACGTCTGTTTCCAACCACTGCTGTGGGGTATTTATGCAAGTGATAAGAAGTATGCAAGGCAATGCCAACTCCAGTGGCAATCCGAGATGTAGAGCAAGGTATCCAGAATATCCAAACCATTGCCCCCGAATACGAACCCAGAACGCCAGAAACCCCTTTCCCAGATATAGTTTCATACAAGCCCAAGCTAACCCAGCAACCAAGAGGCAAAAGCACCCATGTAGCTAAGCATTATTCGCACAAGAGAAGATCGCACTGAAGCCGTAGGTAAACCAACTCGCAAAGAGGGCCGTAATCAAACTGAGCAGGCTACTGAAGACCGGAATCGCAGTGGAAATAATCCACGCCATAGCCCACAGCATGAGCGCAATACCGACCCATGATCCGGTCGCGATCCAGTCACGCTTGTGCATGCGGTCTGTACCCTTGACAATGCGCAAGTACACGTACTTGAACGCGACGTGGCCGTTGATGCCACCGGCGATGATGATTGTCGGTAGGGAGATGCCGTATGCGACTTTTGCGATCATCGGCGAGGCGGATCCTAGCGCTGGAGAAGTCACACTGCTGCCGGCGTACCGATAGATCACTAGCGCGGCGGTGATGTACAGGCCCATGTCGATGCCCTGCAGGGGAAGGGGGGATTTTGTGAAGTCTCTTGGGTTCTTGAGTTCGGCCATGAGGCCGAAGAAGGCTGCGTGGCCGCAGAAGGCGAAGACGATGTTGCAGACTGCCGAGAAGCCGTAGAAGAGGTCTGTATTAACGACTGCAACGACGCCTTGTCCCTTTTCTGTGATGCCGACGGTGATGATGAGGATAACCAACCGCATAAATGCCAACGAGCTAGGCGACCTCCAACCTAGCCCAGGCACGCTATGAAGAAAAGCAATGGGATCTTAGTCTCAGGCCCATCCTCGCCCCCAACTCGTTCGTTACGCTACCACCAGGCAAACAATAGATGGATGTGGAATATATTCATCTTCCGGTGTGCGCATTTTAAAAGACACGAGAAGGATGCATTGATCTGCCTGGCTACTCTCAACCATAGAGATCCAGCCACCTTTTGCTTCTCACTGTTACTGGACCTTCGGGGAAGAAATATAACTACCATCTCCCTCGAGTAGTAAGTAGAGGGGATGGCCATTTCCACCGAGTAAATAGCTGATTGCCACCCTCGTACTCATTTGGAACTCACATTGGTTCTCTGAAATCAGCATCAACATCAGGAAATTTCTGTCGTGTGGACTTGAAAAAAAAACAATCCCTTTCCGAGATGGAGATCAGAACTTGCCCAATAGTTTTTCTCATGGTCTTCGTTGGCTACTGTTCCATTAGTGGGTTGGGAGACAAGTGCACCACCACCACAACGACCAAAGCCTTGATCGGAAGGAACAGCACAACTCTGAAATACAGCGATGTTCTCAATTTTGTGCTTTTTTTTTTCACTACACTACAACTCCAACTATCGCAGATGCATCAGTCTGTCGCATTTTCAAGACGAGGGTGAACATAATACATTTCAAGCCATGGATGATGTCTTTTGCAGAAAGTGATCTATCCAGGCAAACTATCCACCTCAATGAGATCTTTAAATCAATCCAGGAAGAAACTCTCTTCAATCTAGAAGCCATATAGCCCGGTTTTTTATACCACTCAAGCCTTGTTTCTATTCTACAGGTAAGGCTTCCTTCTCTCGCCAACGTCACCGTCTAGCCATGATTCAAGCTTAAGGCCTAGTTTACCGGAGAACAGGAGCACGATATCAATATTAGGACAAGCTAACGCACTTTCTTTTTTACAGGAGGTCTCCTACCACTGACAGGAAGCTAGGCAGTCCTTGTCTCTAAGCAGAGATGACCCAATCTGGCCAGACTGGCGCAAACGCATGGACCAGGACGAGCTTGTAGCTTGCGACACCCAACCCGAACCATTTGCAATACTTTTCATTGGGAATGTAAAAGAGCTGCGCTGTCACTGCTAGTATGGTGAAGGATCATCTCGACAGGTGGTAGGTACTATCTTGGAATAACCGTGTTGACGCATATCCTCCACACCAACAGCGGTAGTAATCCCACTCACGACCTACGTACAACATACGTATATACAGTGGGTAATACGATATCAAGAGGACAAAATTTTTTTGAACCGGATCAGACTGGCCATGAACTAACTGATGTACCTGTACAAAAATGAAAAGGCGGACCTTAGCCATGCATCCCACCACCACCAACGCCAACCAGCGCCAGCATACTTTCGAGTCCGGAAACGAAATGAAACGAAAAAAAAGAACACCATGCTAGTAAAAAATGCTATCTTACAAATAGAGAAGGAAAAAAAAACCAACCAACCAACCAACCATTCATGCACCAGGCTCCCTTGTAGAACCCACCTAATCACGCCCCCAAACTCCGCCTCTTGAGTCTCCTCCTCTTCCGTTGCGACTGCTGGATAGAATCCTCATTCAGGATCTCCGGCGGCAGCTCGAATTCCTGTTCCGTCTGTTCGGGAACCGGGTATCCGAATGCGAGGGCTGGGCGGGACCCGCTGCGGCGGATGCCTTTTGTTGCCGCGATGGCTGCTTCGCGGACATGTCGTTGGCGGAAGAAGGATATGAATGGGCTGGTTCGAGGGGCTGGGTTCCAGAAGTGGGAGAGGGAGGCTTGTTGGAGTCGTTGGGCGGGGTTGGGGGTTTGGATTGGAGTTGAGGCTGGGGCTGGGGGTGGAGGTAGGGATTTTGTGGGTGTTGGGTTGGGTTTTTTGCGTTTGGGAGTGGGTGTTGGTTCGAGGTCGTTGGTGTTGGGTCTAGTGGGGTGGGGGTTGGTCATGTTTGTGTTGGGAGTGGGCTTGGAGATAGACTTGCGAGCAGCAGGTGCTGTCTTGCGCGATTTAGCCACGCCTGCGGAGCGAGCCTCCTGGTGGAGCTGACGCGCAGCCAAGGCGTCGATGTCACTTGGATCGGGATCTGGCTCGGCGTAGACTTCTGGCATGCTATGTAGATCGGTCCCCGCTGCCGGAGAGCTGGCCACGTCTTCGGCTGGACGGGATCGTTTGCGCGAGTGCTGTCGTTGGGCATTGGGTGCTGCCTCCGTACCGGGCACTGGGTGGGCTTTTTCCTTTTCCAGCTTGCGGCGACGCTCATCGTCCTTCCAAGCCTGGAACTTGTTGACCAGAGTGACTAGCTCTTGGATCAGGATATCACGCTTGGGCTCGTAGAGCTTTTTATCGCTTTCGTGGACACCCGTCAAGCCCATCATACGTAGCCAGTCGTGGCCGCGGAGTTCGTCCAGGAGACGCTCTAGGACTTGCTGTTCGTGTTGAGCGCGGTTGCGCTCGATGTTGCGGAGCTGTTTCTCTTGTCGTTCGAACTTGCGATGCGCACGGAAATAGGTCTCTTCGCCCAGTGGGTCAATTGCAGGTGTACTCGACGCCGGGTCGGGGAAGATGATCTTTTCACAGTCGTAGAGCTTCCGTAGCGGGTTGCCGAAGGGTGTAGGTTCGGGGTTGGAGCAGAATGGTAATGGTCGCGATAGATCGTCGACGAGAGTGATGATCGTTTTGGCGGCGAGGAACTCTACACAGTTTTCCATGTCAGCCATGCGCTCAATCCCCTCCCAGAGTTGAGTCACCTACCAGGTTCAGGGACATCCAAACTGATAATCTGTTCGTAGTTGTGGAAATACTGCGCAAGCTCGCTCTTGGATCGTGATCCAGTATCAGTTGAACGCAACGACCGTCTCCCTGGCCGTGTATCTGCTGATGCAGGCTGCTCGTCCGGAGCCGCGCTCTTGGTATCTTGCATGGGAGTCGCACCCCCTATAGCACCCTCCTCTTTGATCGCCTTCTCGTCAGCTTCGGCCAGCGATCGATTTTCATTGCGCCGAGTCGTGCGGGTCGCAGGCGAAACGGGCGATTTGACATTCGATTCCGCATTCGCCGGGGCCACAGTGCGCTGCTTCGTGACTGAGGGCGCTGGAGAGATCGTATCCAATGGATCTGGCGACTCGTGCACGTTGCGCAACAAATGCGCGCCGGAGGGGGTTCCAGAGTCACGGCGGGCGCGTGGGGTCTTGAGAATTCCATTTCCGTTTGTACGTGTCGCTGGGGTCGTCAATCGCCCGACGGAGGAGGCGACTGTGTTAACGGAGGAAGAGGAGCTGCGACGAGTACGATGGGAAATGCGCGGGCGCGAGGGTTTCGAGTTGGGACGGGATTTTGACGTTGGATCTTTGGTGTCGAGACAATCGGGGGAGCTCTTGCGGTCGCCATTTTCGCGCGATTTCTTTGTCGGCGGTGCCAGACCGTCGGCAGGTTCTTCGGGCGCCCGTCGCACAAAGCGGAGGGAAGACCGCGACAGAAGGGCCATTGTTGAGAGTTCAGTTCATTGTGTGGTGGATTCAGGATTCCCTTTCCAAGGTTTGACAGGGATTGGGGGATTGAGTACGGAGTAATGGGAGAAGTTCTTGGCGGACGTCGAAGTGAAGTCATTTAAGATGGTCGTGTAGAAACGTTTCCAAGTAGGTCTTCATTCTCTTTTGCTTCAGGACTCTATTCATTCATGCTTTTGTTCTTGTATGGTTCTATTGTGAATTAATGAAAAGGATTCAGCCCAGAGACAGTACTAATAGGCAAACCTCTTCGCTCTACTTTGATTTTTCTGTCGCTTTTAGTTTTACTCGAGAATTCTCTTTCTTAGTAGAGATGTGAAGATTGAAAATGTACAATATCTGGAATATTCTCAATGTCCCCCCCCCAAATCTCAGGACATGCCCCCACGGCCCCCAGTGTGGGGGACGGCAATTCAACCATTGCCCCATGTCGGAATTTCAATCGATGCCCATCTATGGGGTTGAGGGGTCTAAGGGCTTTATTGGCTATAGGATAGGATTGTGTTGGGCAAGACATGGACAGTAGCAATAGTTATACTCATAGCTCTGAGTAGATTCAGGGGTATATCCAGATCGTTGCACAAGATCCAAGGAGGCCTCTCCAATCTTGTGCTTTCAAGAGAGAGTATGGGAACTGGAATACTTCCAAGAAGTAAGCAAAACAACAGTAAGCCTTGTACTCCGGATTCGACACACACCTCGGTAGTCAGTCTCGCATAAAGCGGGGAGAGATGATGATGTCCAAATGAAAACGCATCACCGTCGCGCAGATTTGCCAAGTGTCGAATGTAAAATGATTCGGTTAATTCAGAAAATCTGTGGGGTAGGACGTGGGGGGAAATGTCCAGCTAAATAGCGGAAGGGTCTGCCAATAGTGATCCCCCTCATTGTCTCTCTGTTGTTCCAAGATCAGATCGCAGAAAATGAGAGAAGCACACAGCAATTTCCCCTAACGGATCAATAGATTGACCTCATCTCATTTAAAATGACTAACGGAGCCAAGCCAAATCCCCTCCCCCACGGAATGTATGTCCCCACGGTAGCGTTCTTCAAACCCGACGAAGAAGTCGACATTGCAACTGTCGAGAAACACGCCGTCTATCTCGCCCGCAGTGGGGTAACCGGCCTAGTAACCCAGGGCAGCAATGGCGAAGCCGTGCATTTAGATCGTGAAGAGCGCAAGGCCATCACAGCCGCCACCCGTCGGGCCGTCGACGCAGCCGGCTACACCAGCATGCCAGTGATTGCCGGCGCCGGTGCCGCCTCAACGCGTGAAACCATCCAGTTCTGTGAGGATGCCGGTGCAGCAGGTGCTGACGCTGTCCTCGTGCTCCCACCCAGCTACTACAAGGCGCTCGTGAGCACCGAGTCCATGCACGCTCACTTCCGAGCTGTGGCCGATGCCTCGCCCGTTCCTGTACTCATCTACAACTTCCCCGGCGTGCAGTCCGGCCTCGATCTTAGCTCGGATGACATCGTGGCTCTCGCGGAACACCCCAAGATCATCGGGTGCAAGCTCACGTGCGGCAACACGGGCAAGTTGGCTCGTGTTGCGGCGGCGAGGTCTGATTTCTTGACCTTTGGTGGCTCGGCTGATTTCACGCTGCAGACGCTGATTGCTGGTGGAGCGGGCATTATTGGTGGGGTTGCCAATGTAATACCTCGCTCGTGTGTGCGGGTAATGGAATTGTATCGTGCTGGTAAGGTCCAGGAGGCGCAGAAGGTGCAGGCTGTAGTTGCGCGCGCTGACTGGGCTGCTGTCCATGGTGGCTTTATCGCTATCAAGACTTGCCTGCAATCCTACCGTGGGTATGGTAGTCTACCTCGACGGCCTTGTGTTGTCCCCGCTGATAAGGCTGCAGCAGCCATCAAGGAGGAGTTCCGGGAGGGGATGGAATTGGAGAAGTCGTTGGAGACGGTGTCATAGATTGGAAGTAGATTAAATGATACCTGAGGTCCCATGTGGAGCTTTTCTATTCCTTTCCCAGCGTTCTCGAGTGTTTTGATCTGTTCTTCCAGTATCAAGGTGGCTTGATAGATCGACACCAGAGTGTGACTATGTTATTTTTCCGCAGGTCCATTGCTCCCCCCTTCTTTTGAAATGCCCATCCTGTTATCTGAGGAAAGTTGAAGTTGCATCCAGAGGTTACACCCTTCTCTTCTCTAATTCCTTGGTGGTGATTTGAACCCGATTGACTTGAGTTGGTTGAGTGGCAGATGCAATGTAACAAGGGAGCACTGTTTGTTTTTCGATCTCGAGCGTCCTTGAAGTTGCAAGACACATTCCGATGAGAGATCGGCAATGCAGCGGAACATAAATAACTCTGCCTATCTTCTGGCATCGATTTTCCTTCTTATTATCATCACTCAACTTATCAACATGAAGTTCGCCTCTGTCCTGAGTGTGCTCGGGGCCCTGACGGCAGTTTCCGCCGTCAAGGTGAATCCACTTCCTGCCCCCCGTAACATCACCTGGGGATCCTCCGGTCCAATCCAAGTTAACCGCTTGGATTTGAACGGTCATCACTCTCCTGTGATCATTCAAGCTTGGGAGCGAGCATGGAAGACTATCATCACCCTGCAATGGGTCCCTGCCGCTGTGGAAGCTCCCATCGCCTCCTACCCGGCCTTCCCTACCTCGACCCCCAAAACCAAACGCGCGCCCTCGGCAGCCCACAAAGTTGAGGTCCATGTGGTGGATAACGATGCTGATCTCCAACATGGCGTGGATGAATCCTATGACCTGGTGGTGGCTAATAGCGGCATCCGGATCAATGCTCAGACGGTCTGGGGTGCATTGCACGCCTTCACTACTTTGCAGCAGATCATCATCTCAGATCGCAAGGGCGGATTAATCATTGAACAGCCCGTGGAAATTAGGGACTCCCCCCTGTACCCCCACCGTGGTATTATGATAGACTCCGGTCGCAACTTCATCACTGTTCGAAAGATCTTCGAGCAGATCGACGGCATGGCTCTGTCCAAGCTCAATGTCCTCCACTGGCACTTGGATGATGCTCAGTCATGGCCCATGCAGATGAGTTCCTATCCTGAGATGACCAAGGATGCCTACTCGCCTCGCGAAACCTACACCGAGCAAGACATGCGCAGTGTGATTGTCTACGCCCGCGCGCGAGGTGTCCGCGTCATCCCCGAGGTCGACATGCCTGGCCACTCTGCCTCGGGCTGGCAACAGGTCGACCCGGAGATTGTGGCTTGCGCCAACACCTGGTGGTCAAACGACGTGTGGGCGGAACACACCGCGGTCGAACCGAACCCTGGCCAGCTCGATATCATCTATCCCAAGACCTATGAAGTCGTCAGGAATGTTTACCAAGAGTTGTCTCACATCTTCGGTGACAACTTCTTCCACGTTGGTGGCGACGAAATCCAGCCCAACTGCTATAACTTCAGCATTCACGTCACCAAGTGGCTTGCCGAGGATCCCTCGCGCACTTACCGAGACCTCAGTCAGTACTGGATTGATCATTCCTTGCCCATTTTCCGAAGTGTAGGCGACCATCGCCGCCTGATGATGTGGGAAGACATAACCATCGCGACAGAGAGCGCCCATCATGTGCCCAAAGATATCGTCATGCAGAGCTGGAACAGCGGCAATGGTAACATCAAGAAGCTCACCTCGGCCGGCTACGACGTCGTTGTTTCCTCCTCCGATTTCCTCTATCTCGACTGCGGCCACGGCGGTGCGATCACCAATGACCCCCGCTACAACGAGCAGACCAACACCGCTGGTGGTGTCACCTTCAACTACGGCGGCGGCGGTGGAAACTGGTGCGCGCCCTACAAGACTTGGCAGCGTATCTACGACTACGACTTTCTCACCAATCTCACTACGTCCGAGGCAAAGCACGTTATCGGCGCCGAGTCACCCTTGTGGTCGGAGCAGATCGACGATGTGACCATCTCCAGTGCGTTCTGGCCTCGCGCTGCTGCGCTGGGTGAGCTTGTCTGGTCTGGTAACCGTGATGCTGCGGGCAGAAAGCGTACCAACAACATGACTCAGCGTCTTCTGAACTTCCGCGAATACCTCGTTGCCAATGGTGTTATGGCTACTGCTCTTGTGCCCAAGTATTGTCTGCAACACCCTCATGCTTGCGACTACTACAAAAACCAGACTATAATCTCCTAATTACTCTCTTCATGATGGCTTTAGGTGGACTTTGGTGAGCTCTATTACCGGTGAACTATATTCCTATCCTTCTACCGTCTCCATGTCTGTTTATACTTAATCGAACCTCAATACCCAATCCCATTGGAATTTCTTCTAGGCGCCAATGTCCTGATCGGTTTATTCTTTGGTATCCATATTGTGTTTGCAACAGTGGCTGATCCAAAACAATCAACCGCCTACACCAGTAACGCTTCCTATATATCGAAGCCTATGCCCGATCTCAATCCCAATCAGGCATCAATCTCACAACACCAGTCCAAATCAAAATCCGAACTCGGACGCCAGACTCCCCCCCCCCTCTCCCTCTTCCTCACCCTCTCCTTATTTCCATGCCACATCCATCGCCGAAATCTAATTCCCTTCAACCCCAATGAACTAAAGGATCATAAGACCATCTATCCACCGGAAACCCCACAGACCCTCCTCCCTTCCCAACTCACCCAACCAACCTCCACAACCAACCAAACCCTCAGGATTGAAACTGCCGTGCCACCTCCTACCTTGGAACTCATCCTTCGGTCCCGTCCTGGATTCTAGATGGCCTTCGGGACAGGCTTGCTGTCTACCCTATGCATGTAGCACGGGGTACTCCGTAAACAGTAGGCAGTATCTGGTTTGTTGTAAGGAGATGTATGCACACAAACTCAAGGACGCAGTAAGTGGCGTTGTATGCAGGTCAGACTAACACCGCATGTCATCATCATCATTAACCTGTATGGAGAACCTGCGGTGGGAACACGTCCATGTCGGGATACAGAAAAAAGTACAAACGGCATTTCAGAGATTCCAGTCTGATCTTGATCTGCGTATGTAGGTATACCATGCCATGTATTCCTAACAAGTACCAGTCCCGCCCCCTCGGCGCAAATCAGCCCCTTCACACATCCATGCTCGAAATCAAAACTCGAAACCCAGCATGCCAATCCAAACCGGGCTGGACTGGGCTGGGGTGGGGTTTGGGGGGTTGTGGATTGCTTTCGTGTACGAGCACATGCCGAAAGGACATGTGTTGCACAGGATGGGTGGTAGGAATGACCACCCGACGGATTGAGGAGAAACAGGCGAGCGGGTGGATGTTGGTGAGGGTTCTATTTGGCTAGCTGGGGTCCGCCATGCACGTGGGTAATCTGTGACGATTTGGAACTGGTAAAGTTCTTGTTTCGTGGTTGTGTTCGGGTTGTGGTCTAGAACGGGGAGGTGTAGAGGGATGAGATACAGACTTGACGAATCGAAATAATTCCTGCTTCATAATTCTCTCGCTCTCTTCTGGAGAATGTAGTTTTGTTTTGGTTTTTGTTTTTCTTCTCTACACCCGGACGTACCCGGGTGCAATCCTAGCTTCGACATGTTATGTGTGCATGCAAATAAGGACTGCCACTTTCATGGTTTGCTGTGCGAGGAGATCGGGAACTGATCTCACATATTTCTGTCTACGGAGGGGAGTACAAACACGCGGTTGCTCTGCGTGGCCGGGTGTTCACGTTCTTAGATTCAATTGGATGTTGATATTGGGCTAATAGGGACGATGTGGGGGACGTAACATTACGTCCTGGGAATAGATGCTTAGTGTGTTTTAGTTGAGTAGGTATTTTAGGTTCTCAGCTGCGTGATTTTATGATATCAGATAGATTTGGTAAAAAAAAAAAGACGTAAACGGACCTTCTGCTTTCGACTTCAGTATATGGTTTACGTCTCACGTGGCGTGGTGTCAAGGGCGAGATAGGTTTCTGTATCACAGTCGTGTTTCAACGTGGATCGGGGCTCTTTTTCCTGTAAATTCTTGGCTTGTGTTTCATGCGGTTGTGCGGGTTCGTATGATGCATGTATGATCAATCATGTGGTGCGAATCACTGGAGCGTTGAGATGGGGTTTGGGTTCGCGGTTTCTCCTTGGCAACCAAACTGGTACGAAAATGGTTAAAGATATATATTGACACACCAAACCCCCACTATTCATTCGTTGACAGCCATTTCAAATTGCTAATAGGTCTTGATCTTAGTCTGAATCTTAGTCTGAATCTCTCTCATCTCACCTGGGTTAGCCTTCACACAGCATTCACTCCAAGAACCAGGGATCTGATCACAGACCGTGGGCCACGACCAAATAGAAAGTCTCGTATGGGCTAGGGGGACAAATCTGGAACTGTGTTTTCAACAGGCCTGCGGAGAATTTGCGGCATTTTGCATCTTCAGGGTCGTTCCTGGTAAGATTAGGTGTTTCATGAAATATCCCGGTCAATTCTGAGGTGCGCATGTATGTCTAGCTGGTAATGTCAGGAGCGGCTGCGTTGACATTACATCGAAGTTCTTCTAGAAGTCAACCTTGTCTTTGGATATGTGTTCCAGGTATGTCGATATCAAGTGTCGGCGAATCGTCTCTCGCGACTTCGAGTCGGCATCTCTCGTAGACTTTTCAAGAAACCAAGACCTCAAAACGAGACACAAGTCCAAAGAGAACATCGAGACATCCTCATTGGCTACACACTAATTGCCGTAAATGCCGTTGATTCTCAATATCCAACATGCATATCACAAGCCCGAGGAGCATGGGAGGTGCCTGTGGGCTGCCCGGGGTATAAAACAAGTCTCGACATAAGCAGCGGACCGAGCTCACACAGTGAAGATCCCCCACAAACCATCCCAAGCCCTTTCCAAAGCAAGTATACCTGCTGGTTGTACGCCACAAGTGTCAATTCCAGGCTGATCAGAGAGGTACCTGACTGCGTACACACCTCCCTCCCCTTCTTCTACCGGGGCACAAGCAAAGGTTCGATCAGGCAGTACCACACCGTCACCCTAGGTGCGTAGGCAGCGGAGCCATTAAATTGCCAAACGAGAGAGCCTAATCACAACCAAAAACCTGATCAACAGTGTGCGATGCACATTACGAGAACCCGGGTGGTAGGTCTAACCTTGCCTGATCACCCACTAGAGGATTTCGTACTACCCCCACCCACACCTTCCGCGTGCTCTGCCCTGTACTCCGTACGCTCAGACCAATTGCACCCGGGCATCTATCTGTTGCGCCCGGGGAATTCTTTTTTTTTTTTAAAAAAAAAAAAAAAGTTTTCGATACAAATGTTGGTGTGGATATACCCACACTCGGGCGCAGAAAAACGTAAATACGAAGAGTCGAAATTATTTACGTCATAGCGCCCTTCCACCAAAAACTGTCCATATCCCGTGTTACCGACGTCATGCCTGGAAAAAGCTAAGGATGCACCGCCTCAGTCAGTGGAGGTTGAGGGTCACTGGGTCTCGGGGAGAGCGAAAAGCGTCCCCCATAGGCTGGGAACAGTGGCTGGTGAGGTGGAGGTTGTGGAGTTTTTGCTTCTTTTAGCTTCTTTTCTCTTCTTTTCTCTTCTTTCACTGTGGCAAAGTCGAGTTCTGTACTGGACTTGTAAAGCCACGTCAAAGCACTGAGACAAACACGTATCTTTGCAGTGGAGAGGTGTATTCCCCACATTTGTCGCTAGTGAATACTCTGCATAAATCGAAAGTCGTAGTTCGCTTCGCATTCAAGATAGACATGCCAATTTAGATCTAGGGTGACAGATCTAAATGGTGATCAACTTGGATGTGTGATAGATCTAATCAAAAAGATTACAACTCCGATCGGGGAGAAGGGATGTGTACCCGGAATTGACAGTATTTACACCCTCTGCGTCCCAAGGTCCCGTTGGGGTCGATCATTAGGGCCATATAGGGAAATCTGAGAATCAATATCTATCTTTGATCTAGATCGTGCATGTGCAGCAAGACCCTCTTGCCTATTGCGTCCATGACGAAATTGACAGCGGGGACTTGATAGGACTTCCGTGGCTTTGACTAGTCACTTCACGTTTTGGCTTCACTTCACACAATTTGTTGTAGGTATACCCCGCGACGCTCGAATCGGCAGCATGGAGTCCATCTTAGGGTCGGAGTACTCTGTACAGGAAGCGAAAAGCACATGTCCAACCTGCAGGGAATACCACCCCCAGGCCTCCCTAGTGAAGGTTAGACGGTACGCGGGATATGCTATCAATCTCCTCCCGGACCTGCCTACACTTTCTCAGACATGCTTTGGCCTCGGCCATAGGTGGCACAGCGTAACGCCTTCCCTCGACTATCTCACGGGGTTGAAGGATATCCACGGCATTCCCCTCTCTGCTTGGCTGTAACACTTATATCTGATATCAACTGATGAAATCATAGCGCTAATCTAAAAGAGCCACCCGATATTCGAGTCTGTTGTGTAGTCGAGTAGACTGGGGGAACCTCAACCCGAGGGGCGTGACGGATGGTGTATGACCAGCGAGAGAAGTGATTCGATATGATGTGCGATCAAGCCAAAATGGGGAGGAAAAAAAATGACCAAGGGCTAGAATCTTTGATCTGCGTCAAAGAATACCAGAAATGAACCCCGAGACACTGAATCAGGGCCACGTTCGGTCGACGGGTGACGGACTCTACATTCTGCTGGGATCAATAGCTTGGCTGCCTTTCTCAAATTTAATCTTGCATAGATCCCGTCCTTAGTGGGCGGTACGTAGGTGCATGATTGGGCATGTCTTACCTGTTTTTACCCCTTCTCGGGTGAACACCCCGAAACCCATGAACACGTTGATCAACGCCCTGATGACTCTACCACTGCTGGTCGCATACACGAGCAGAAGCAAGGGATTAGAATTAGGGCAGACGTAGGACGAATAACTCCAACGCAAAAGTGGAAGAGCCGCGCCATTACGTATAGAACTGTTTTGAATCACCCTACTCGCCTCGCGATGCAATTACTGAAATTAGGACGGTCAACATCCCTGTCCTTCCCGCATTTAACCTTGTTAGGCAATGAACCCAACCAAGATCCTGACTTTGGGTAAACTACCGATATACCGAAGGATGTTTGTATTCACCTTTTGCTTCTGAAAAGTCCATGTTGCGGTCCCACATGGACTGGTAATCGTGTCCAAACCACAT